GTTTATGCAGGAAGTGCGGGTCTAAGTCCCCACCTCACGGGGGCTGAAACCTTGTCGCAGACGCATCTGGTGACCACTCACCTCCTCCTGGCCTGCGCTGTGACCGGGGTAGGCAGGTTCATGGAGACTTAGGTTCATTTTATACTTCAGCACACAGGCCAGGTCCCCAGAGCCCGTTCATTCCCCACCCCCTCCCCTAGGAGCCTCCCAGCCCGCGATGGGGCAGGATCCAGGGGCCAGGTCCGGACCACGCAGGACAACCCCCCGGGACAACTGGGATCAGGCCTAAGAGGTGACTGGGGATGACAGCCGAGGAGTCCAGGAGGCCAGAATTAGGGTTACTCCTGAGAGATATAATCAAGTCAGGACAGAAGGGCGAGTGTGAGACCGAGCAGAGCCCGGATGAAAGGAAAGGCCCAGGAAGGTGAGAGCCGGCGGCTAGGGCTGCAGGTCTGATTCAGGGCGCCGGGGGCAGGGCCAAGGAGAGGGTGTCCCTTCTCACTGAACACTGGCAGGAGGAGTCCCGGGCAGCTGGAGACCTGGAAGGCCTAGGACAGAGCTGAACAGGCCCTGAGCGCCCCAGGGTAATGCGGGAAGGTGGTCGCTTCCACGACAAATAGAACACCCCATGGCAACGCCGGTTTTCTGGCCCCGGAAATCCTGAGTCTTCTCCAACAGAAACATGGAGCCATTGCAAAAGGGGACACTCCCTCCTGAACTCCCCTCCAGGCCAGCACCCAGAGAAGCCTTAGATCTGGCCTGAGAACTCGAGAGCTCAGACCCTCAAGGAAGCCTGCTGGATGACCCCGCCCACCCAGGCCCAGAGAGGGAACAGAAACCCTGCTCTGGACGCAGGGCGGGCAGCACGTGGGACGGCGCTGCGGGGCAGGGGCTGGTGAGGCCACCTGTGGGTGACGCCCCTCCTCACAGTCTCTGCCTGTCTGTCCTGCGAGGCGGCCTCGTCGCCTACTTCCGGCAGCATTTGGGCCCCTGTTTGGACTTAGGCTGCTCTCAGCGAGTCTCATCTCATCACTGCATCCAGTGTCGTGTCCAGGACCTCATGATCCACACCAGGTCTTGAGTCAACCTCTTCTTCTGGAGACCTGCAAATTAAGAAGACAAATGACCTGTCCTGCCCGCTGCCAACACGAGTAATGAAAGAGAAAGCAGAACGGGTCAGGGAAACACACTGCACACTCCCCACTTAAAAGGGGAAGGCGGCCTAATCGTGTGCGGGGCAGGGGAGTGAGCAATCAGAAAAGGATAAACGATGTGCCCACAGCTGCGTATTAGGCTATTTAGAGAAAAATGTCCATTTTTAAGTGGCTACACTATTTAGTCATTGAGGTGATGCTCACATATGTGTGGTGTCTGAACACTTCTAAAGAATGTAACAACATCGACAAAACCTAACGAAAGAGGATCGCAAACGAAGGCAGGAGGAAATTGTTATTTCAGGAGAGGAAGGAAGGAATGTGGCCGCTGCCTCGCCTGCACCCACGCCACCATGGAAAGTATGCTGTAGGCATGGCTATTTCAATTCGTCTTTGACATTTCAAATTTGGGGGAAGCCCAGTTTTGAAATGTAGCCTTCTAGGAGTGTACTGACTCAGAATGTTCACCCAGGCATTACCACCACACCTTTGGAATGTCAGGGAGAGGGTGCCATGTAAACCTGGCACAAGGCAGTCTCAAATGTGTCCACTTGTTCGGCCCCGAAAGCGGCTGAGAGAAGGACAGGTTGGTCCTGGGTTGTTTTTTCAAGAGTGCCGAGAATACGGACAGTAAAATCGTCATACTGAATGAAAGGGACTAATTACACACACCTGGAGGGTCAACAGAAAAGGGTTAAGTGATGTCATATCCAGAGGATAAAATATTATGCAGCAATTAAAGTTTCAAGGAAAATTTGATGTCCTGCAATATAATGTAGACATTAAATGCAGGCATGTGCCTACATACACACACATTCTCCCATGTATGCATTTTCAAGTTAGAAAAACACTTCATGATTAAATCCCCCGAATAGGGGTTATCTTTTTTTAGAGTTTTATTGAATTTATTGGAGTGACACTGGTTAATACAATTAGGTAAGTTTCAAGTGTATAATTCTATAACACAGTGGCAATTTCTTGGTGGGAAATTCTGGAGAATTTTTTTAAAATACATATCCTCCAAATCATCCACAAGGGGCCCAAATTTCTTTCAGAATCATAAAGAAAACAAAAACAACGGTCTTTTCTGCTTGTTTGCTTTTTAGAGGTTAAGAAAAAACTTCAATCTGAACACAGAGGGTGAGGGAGCCGCAGCGGAGCCACCCGCACCCTCCGGCCCTGCTGCAAGGGCAAGGTAGAGGCACCTCTACCCGCGGGAGTGTTTGCAGCTAGTGCAGTTTTGAAAGAAAAGCAAGCACTTAAACATCAAAAATTCCTGAGTGAGGTTCTAGTCCTTTAATTTAGGAATGGCTAATCCAACACTTTTCAAATTGCTATGGATTGAATATTCACATCCCTTCAAAAATTAATATTAAAATCTACCCCCCAAGGTGACATTAGGAGGTGAGGCCTTTGGGGGAATGATTAGGTCATGAGGGTGGAGCCCTCATGACTGGGATTAGTGTCCTTATTAAAAAGGCCCAAGAAAGCTCCTCTGTCCCTTCCACCGTGGGCAGTACCATCAAAAAGAGAGCCATCTTCGGACCAGGAAGCAGGTTCTCACCAGACACCGAACCTGCTGGCACCTTGAGCTTGGACTTCTCAGCCCCCAAAACCATGGTGTTTGTTGTTTATAAGGCACCCAGTGGATGGTGTTTTTGTTATAGAAGCCCAAAGGAACTGAGACAAGTCAACAAGGTGACTCTCTACCAAAATTCACAAGCATCTGACCAGAAAAAAGTGATCATAAAATTAATTCTGGTCCCCAAAAGCTTGCTAAAATACCATCTTTAAATGAAAGACTTGTTTCTTGGTAATAAATTTACTGTATCCACCTTTCTGTGTGCTTCAGCCACAAGGTCTTGGAGAGAGCCTTGGTTCAGGGACCCAGGGTCCGGATCTAAGCTCTGGGATCACAGCTCTCTCTCTCCACCCGCCCCCTGCCCCATAGCCTTGGACCAGCCTTCAGCCATCACAAACCCGTTTCTTTGTCTGCAAGTTATCATCAGAGAGCAGAAGGCAAAGTCCTCAGCAGACTGTAATTTCCAATGCAAATGTGTCCTGGAAGCATTGCTGGAAAGACTGCCATTTCCCAGGCATCCATCAGGGACAGTTACAGGGGATCATCAAGAAAAGGTCCCAGATGGGTCTGAGACCCCAACCCTGACCACAGTGCAGGCTTTATCCTTTTTTTTCTGAACAAGTAACAATGAGAGAATGTCACTATTTTTAAATTCTCACCCAAGGACATGCTTATTCATTTTAAACAGAGGGGGAGGAAAGAGGCAGAGAGGGAGAGAAACATCCACGTGAGAGAAACATCGATCAGTTGCCTCTTGCGTGCACCCCAACCGGGGATCGAACCTGCAGCCTCGGCATGGGCCCTGACCCAGAATTGAACCTGTAGCCTTCTGGCTTACAGACGATGCTCTAACCGAGCCACGTCAGCCAGGGCATCAGCACTATTCTTAATCATGCCTGCACTGAGGAAAAACAGTCAACTCCTGTTCACCCTTCCCCCTAACCCTGTATTTAAAATCCAGCTTGTGCCCTGGCGGGTGTGGCTCAGTGGATTGAGTGATGGCTTGTGAACTGAAAAGTCACTGGTTCGATTACCTACCAGTCAGGGCACATGCCTGGGTTGTGGGCCAGGTTCCCAGGAGGGGGCGTGTGAGAGGCAGCTGACCAATGCATCTCTTGCATATCGATATTTCTGTCCCTTTCTTTCTCCCCCACTTCCCTTCACTCCAAAAATAAATAAATAACATTGTTATAAAACGCAGCTTGTGTGCTTTCTCAGGGCTTGGCAAACCACACCTTGCGAGGCAAATCCAGTTTGCTACCTGCTTTTATAAATAAAGTTTTATTGGAACACAGCTATGCTCATTCATTTATGTATTACCTGTGACTGTTTTCACACTATAGTGACAGAAGTGAGAGGTTGTGACAGAAACTACAGCCTACAGAGCTGAAAATGTTTACTACCTAGCCCTTTTATGGAAAAAAAGTTTGCTCACCCCCAACTCTTTGATAAGTCTCAAGGAATGGGTTAGGGAGAAATTGTTAGAAGCTGCATATGGATTTCACTATGAGTCTACAATCTACTCTAGAAAAAGACATAAAAAGGGTAGGAAGTCATGTCTGTTGTCAGAATTTCTTCAGTGGGTCCAAGTTTTGCTCCTTAAGAAAACCTTAATTTACTAAGAAAGAAAGGGAAGATGGAAAGGAGAGGAGAGAAGGGAGGGAGGGAAGGTAGGCAGGAAAGAAAGGAAGGGGGGAAGAAGGGGAAGGAGAAGGGAGGGAGGAAGATCCTCTTCCCTTGCTGGAATAGTAGCCCTCAAAGGAGTCCGCTGAGGGCTATAAGAAGACCCCTTGGTCATCCAATGCCCCCCAACTTCCAGAACTCCCCACTTTTTATCACAATACACCAGCAATGCTCCGGTGCAGATTGTCTGGAAACTGAGATTCCATCTTGAGACAGAGGTTAGATAATACCTAGGTACCGCATATTGTTTTTGTTAGAATGTAGAGTGCACGAAGCTCTCTGAACAGTTCCCCTCTCATGTCCAGAAAGTTCTAAGTTTAAAAAGAATCAAAGTATGGTCTACTCCAGAAAGAGAAGGCATCTCCAAGTTGGCAGAATCCCAGAGCACATCATGAGGTATGTTATTTCCATACTTCCTCTAACTTGGCCATGCTAATTTTGAACATAAAAAAATCCTTCCAAATACTCATCTTGACAAATAGTTTATTATATCCACCCAAACAGAAAATAAATTCTTAACCACTTTGAAATAGATTTCAACATAGAAAAAAGCACAATCAGCAAATTGTATACAGTAAATAAACTTTATTTATTCTGTTCTTCCAAGATGACATTGCCAAGAGTCAGAGATTTGCATACAATAGTTATATATTGACTATTTACAATTTACAGTAGTATTTTTTCCTCTGAAAAATATAAGTACAAAAGCTAAGTAAACAATGAGGTACTGCTGTTTGGATTTATCATATGTCATAACTTAAAGAACTAGTTTTTAGTAAATATTCAACAAATCAATCTGGATAAAATAGTCAATTAAATGCTCTAATTTATCAGAAAAAAAAATCCACTATGTTTCACCTCAAAATGTATTGCACAAGTCTTTTAAAAAATCACTCTAAAAATAAATAGAAAAGGCAAGCAGTTCTTTTAAAAGAGGGACAAAAAAGATGGAAGAAAGGAACATTTAAGTGAGCCCATAAATCAGGTTAAGTCATTTAAAAAATTTTAAACAACATAAAACTCTTCCTTCCTCCCGAAAAAAAGGAAAAAAAGAAAAAGAAAACTACCACCATTTCTCCACTGATACAACCTATTTTAAAGGCTGCCTGCACTGGGTGGGCCAACATCAGGTTCTTCTTGGTCATCTGGCTACACGAAGAGCCCTGAACAACAGCTTCTTTCTCAAAGAGCAGCAGTGCGCAGCTTCCCAACTTTTCCCAGTTACTCTCCTCATTTCTTCAAGATGAAGGTCGAAGCCATGACTGGAACAGGGAAAGGAAAAGAGGATAATTAAAGAGAGGGGGGAAAAACACCTTTAAAGCCAATTCTCTGGGGGATCGGCTATTTCAAGTTAAAATTAAATTATATCTATGGTCTGCGGATTAAAGTAGAAATAGTCTAAGAATTAAATCCTACAGAAATCTTCTAGAAATCAATGTTCTTGGAATGATCTGACCCAGAGTCAGCAATCCTGAAAAACAGTATTTTCAAATGACACCGAAATTGTAACCCTTCACCATGTATTGAATGCTACCAGGTCACAATTAGAGAAAGCCAGGAGTAAACATTCTAACTTGTCTCTAGGATGCAGCAATTCAGGTGGGATTTAAAGAGGAGGAGTCCTTCTCTTTCCATAATGCATTGGTTTTCCCACATCTTGCAGTTCTCCAGGATGCCAAGCTGGCAGCAGAGGACAAACAGCATTTTGGTGTCAAAAGCTATGCCTCATCTGAAATTAATAAACTTAATTTTAAACACTTAAAATGTAAGAAATTATGCTAAACCTTCTTAATAAGGTTTCTCAGATTAGAAAGCTCATAGATCAAATATGAGGTTAAAAAAATGGCATAAAAGTAAATTACTAAATAAGGTTAAGTAATACAGAAAAACTTTCATATACTTAATGGAAAAAGAAAGTTTTAAAATCTTTTCAATTTGTAAATAAACAATATAATCCACTACTTATGATATACTTCCAAAAGTGTATTATTTATAAAACTAGCTCAACAATCATGTTGGCCCTAGAAATCTAGACAAGATAAGAAAAAACCTCCTGTTATATTTAAATTCCCTTGTCAGTTATTTCAAAACCTTAGCTTGAACTGTTGTGGGAAGAAACTCGTGCACGACTCAGTAATGCCATGCAGTGCGATGTCATGAGAGACAGAGAAGATAGGAGACAATTTACGGCTATAAATTGCAGTGTATGATCATTAAATAGATCCTGGAATTTAAAAAATTATGAAAAGCACTGTTTAGAAAACTAGAAAAATGTAAACATTTACCGTATACTAAATAACAGTTACTATGTTAATATTAAATTTCCTATGAGTGATTATTATGAGTATGTAGAAAAAGCTCTTGTTCTTAAAAGCACTTGCTAGAATAGTTTAGTTAATATTTGCAAGCAACTGTCAAAAGTTACAGAGGGAAATACCTATGGAGAGAAAGAGCAAGAGTGAGAGTAAGTGAAAATATTTCGCAAAAGGTTAATAATTGGTAAATATAGGTGAGGGTACATGCGTGTTTATTGTACCATTTTTGCAAATCTTATGTTTAGAATTTTTTAAACTAAAAATTGAGAAGACAGTCAATCAATTAATCAGTCCACTGAAATGCTACACAGTAATCATTTCCAGTGATTAATGACAATACTTAAATGCAATATAATAACAAGCATGATGCCATATTTACAGTATTATTAAAAAAGGAAAATTTAAGACTACTGAGTTTGATATGGGATCTACATGACTCAAGATAACTCCAGGTAAACACTAAGGCAAATTCATTGATATATATTAAAATAAAAATGAGACTCAAATGTAGGCATAAAGGATTCTTAAAGCTAAAAGGTTTTAAAAAATGCTGTATATTGGCATTTTTAACCTTAATACTGTTAGCTGAATACTGGCGAATTAACAATCACAGAGAACCTTTAATTACAATTAAGCTCTATTAATTGTGATCCAGGTCATTTGTGATTTGTAAAAATTCTAGCTAAGTTTGAGGTAAAAATGTACCCTAAATTTTTAGGAGGTATGAAATCAAGCTAACAGCAGGAATGTGGAGGTGATTTGGAGGGGTGTTTAAATAGTGAATACAGCCAACTGCTTTGAAATATTTTAGATGCCTCCACTTCATTGTAATAATATGTTAATAGAAATAGCCACCTTCGATTAAAGCAGGCTGCCTAAGGGTCTCCTCAGGACAAATGTGTAACTTTGTTAAATTGTGCGACCCCAGGAAGTAAAAATAAAAATGCACTTATTTTTAAATCAATTTTACTAGTTTTCATTATTTCAGGTTAGCCTTAACTCTAAGGAGGCTTTATAGTTAGTATTTTAAATTCTAGCCTTCTGAAATATATTACTTTACTTTTATCTAGAAAAATGATTTTTTGTTTCTCTCAATTCTTTTTTGACTTCTCAGAAAATTCTTGGGAAATAAAAGGAATACGAAATACATAAATACTTCTTTGGATTCTTTTAACAAAATTTCAAAGAGCAATTCTGAAATTTTCAAGTACTATTTTAAGAAGTAAAATTTCCTAAAATTATATAATCATACTGGTAGCAGTGATTATTAATCTATATATTATTAATATAAAAAATAGAATTAACAGAAAATACCTTTATTAACCCATAGCAAAATCATATATTATTGAAACAAAAAAAGCAAAAGAATTCCAGCGAAATGGTTAGTATCATGCAATACATTTGATTTTGGCACAGAAGACACAAGACATTATTCTTCACTCACCACATGCTAACTAAGCACAGACTGATGGTTTACTCAGAAGATACCACTGCGAGGTGAAGTATACTACAAAGCCAGGAAGAAAAAAAGCTTATTGGGTTAGTTTTAAGACTTAACATAACACATAGAATATATGTGTATATGAACTTCAGAGGATTAAACAGGTTGTACTTAAATTTTTCTCAAATCTCCCCAAATCAAGGACGTACAGGCAAAGTATAAAGCATCTGTATTACCTTCCTCCTATCCTAAGTAAATGTAACCCTATGTAGCTGAGATATACTTGTAACTTTAATTTAAAAATTTAAAAAGCATAATTAAAGATGTACTTCCACTTTAAGTACACATTTATATGCTTGATTAGATTATGATTATCTGCTTTATAAAAAGATTTCTTTCATAATTCCATTAGAGTACACATTCAAATTTTATTTATATTATCTCAACTGACCATCAAAAGGTTATAGGGAAATGTTGAAGAATATGACTACGGTATATCTGTATGTCATATTGTCATTCCTAAAATATGTCACTGTTATCACTGAACAGTTCCCTTGAATTCAACAGAACATCAGACGTGGTTTCAGGAATGATGAGCCACCCAAAATTTCCATTCAACAAGACCCAATTTCAATTTCAAACATAGTTTTGAATGCAGCAACCTTCTTAAATAAATTCTATGTCCTGTCTTAAATGGTCATAATCCAAGATAATTAATTAGCTTCCTGGTCTGTTTTAGAATAGCATCAGCAAACACAGGTATTATTTATAAAATCTAAGTCTATTCTCGGATAATTTGACCAACCTCAGAAGTATCATTTTACTTATTTTTTTCTATTTAATGTGGAGTTAGTAAAAAGCAGCAAAATCAAAAGGCAAACTAAAAAAATAATATTTGCAATACACACAACACAGTAAGGTTAATATCCTATTGGAAAACTTAAAAATATACATATATGGATGTTTCCGTGGCTATTCTTATAAGTACTGAAAAACTGGAAACCACATTAAGTGTACATAAACAGGAAACTGGTGAATGAAATTGTAGGACATTCATATAATCATACAACCAGCCATTAGAAAGAATGAGGTAGACTCATTTGTAATGAGGTGGCATAGTATAGAAATATGATTAAGTGGAAAAAGTAAACTGCCGCATATTCTCATTTTTATAAAATAAAATAATTAAGTGATACAGGAATAATTATTACTATATTAGTAAAGCTTCGGAAACCTGGGGATATTCACCACACCATTGACAGAGAGGACCTTGGCACAGTGGAAACAGCTGGCAGGCTGTAGATCATAAAGACCTTACTTTCTGTGCAATGTTTCTGAACTATATGCAATGTGTTTTGACAATGATCACTTACTATGTAATTCTGAAAAAAAGAGTCAAAACTACTTTTAAGATAACAAACCTGTATTTTATATGCACAGTATCTATCACTATGCATCAGTTTTATTTACATTTGTTTTCTGAGTCCACTTTGCATGCATCTACTGAGATGATACAAAGGGCAAAATAAATGTCCACCAGAATAGAAGCCATTTGTGCCTAACAATGCTGAAAAGTTCTGATGACTTTATTAATTCAGAGGAAATATTTAAAATTCTAACCAAAAGGAGAGAAGTTGAGAAACATTAACTGAAGTACAAGACCAATCGAAGGCAATGACTAATTAAGAACTTGACAGAAAACAAAAGATCTGCATGAAAGCAAAGCCAAAACAAAGTTAATAGAAAATGAATTTTTAAAAATGACTAGAGTGGATGGGGAAAGAAAATAAGCCAAACGTTTTTCATCAGAAAAAAAAAAAATTCTTTTAATGGAGTCATCAAGAAAAGAGCCATCTATATTAAATGTGTCATTAAGTTTGCTAGCACTCGAAAGAGAAAAATGTATTCGTAAAAATACTTTTTAAAAGAGATTTCTAAACAAACAAAAAAAAATTTTCAGTTCCAGAGATGATTTAGCAGCTGCTTAAAATAAACTTTCTGTAATACTGTATGTCAACTATACTTTATTAAGGAATCAATAACCTTTCTTAATGAAGTAATTCTAAGTAACAAATAGCACTCTCCTTTTAAAAAAACCCTCTGATGGTGCACTTCTAGGGCAGTTTTTTAGGCAGAAAACAATTAGGCAAGCGGAGACGTCTGTATTCACGCCAATGTCCCATCTACTCGGGCCGTCTCACCTACCTAAACCTTCACAAAATGAAATATGAGGCACAATAAGCTAAAAACTGAGAGGAGGAAAAGGGCTGTTCTTGGGAAGACGAAGGTAAGAACACAATTGATATGTGCATTTGCTTTTTAACTTCTGCCTGTAATGCAATTTTTTCCACTTGAAACAAATCTAGACCTTGAAAGTTTACAACTAATGTACTACTTTGGAGGGAAAGAAACCATAGACATAGATTAATCCAACACACACATTTTACTAGTGTATTTCTTGCCCTCATTGAACCAAAACATTTGCTCAAAGTCACACCAGGCTGAGCTATTCAGGTGCAGGCTCTCCCCACAAAAATGCTACGTATGGGACTTCGTTCAAGCTCGCAACGTGACTGTCCTGCTGAGGTCTTTAACGGTTTATGTTATATACATTATTAGATCACCCTCCCAAGTCTCATCTTCTAGGAAAGACGAGCTCTCTAAGGTGCTACATGGTGGCTAAGCAATCACCACCACCACCCCTACCGCTATCTCCAAAGCCCAGCACAGGTACTGCGCTCTGGCCGTCCAGCATACCCAACGAGGTGATGTTAGCTTTGTGAAGACGCACAGGCTCTGAGCCTTGCCCTCGTTTCCACAATATGTCAGTGAAGGATTAGATTCCTTCTCTACACACCACGCCCCTCAAACCAAACTGTAACTATGCTCTGTAATTTACTCCTCCTTAACAGGTAAGGATTTCTCACATATGAAATGTATTCTTGAAATTAGGTTCAACTCTGAAACCACTTATTAAGTAATGACTGCTATTCTATAATGGGGTTTTTCAAATAGAGTATAAAACGCAGGCGCGGTGGCCAAGTGGTAAGGAGTCACTCTCGTAAATCAAATAGAGTATAAAACTCACTGGGGGAGGAGAGATATGGTAAATAAGGGATATACTGAGAAATACCTTACCAGCAGTCATGGAAGGCTTTTGATCAATGCCATAAGACAAGTGTATAACATAGAACCACAAAGCAAAGCTTTCAGACCGCGTTCCTCCTACACTACCTGCTCAGCACTGGCGTGGCTGCTTATCAGCAGAGTGCGATCCACACTCGCTCTCCGGCATCCCAAATATTTACAGACAGGGCAAGCTCCACAGGTGTTTGGGGTTTGTTGTTTACATACACCAGCGTTCAGCCCCCAAAGCTAAAGTAACAAAATACTCAAGGTTGCTGATTTTAACAGAAGGGAACCTTGTAGCTCCACATTTACAACAAATTGCCAAAAAGATCCTTTGGGAATATACGTTTAAAGCTAATGTGACTAAATAGCTTTAAATGATTATTTAACAAACCTTAAAAAGCTTTGTTTTCTATACATCTATGTATCTTTCTGTGGAAAAGCTATTTTACATAATGACATTGAAAAGATATGTATGTATCTTTCTATTGGATATCTTATCTTTCTGTCAGAAAAAAAGTCACTGTTCTCTGCAGTGTTGTGTTCCAATCAGCTACATTTCACTGACAATTTCTGAAATTTCTTCAAGAGAAACTTTGTGCAAAGACAGTAATTTTTATGGCTCACTTTACAAATGATAGCAATCTTAACGCACATGCGATTCTTGCTTCGACTTTCTCACTCACCAATGGTCTACGTTCCATCAAATACAGAACAGTCGCCAGTCACTCCATCCAGTACCAAGACTCTCCCTATACTGACAGAAGGTAACTCAAGGTGATTTGTAAGTCCTCTTCATGTTCATTATAGGTTATGTCACATTTCCTGAGCATTTATTTTTATCATTTGAATCGTATTATTTAGATGTATCTTTTATTCATGTATGAATGGATGGAGAGTACCTCCTTCCCCTAAAACATCTTCCCTGTCTTCAATTTGTCTATATTCACTGCAAGTAGAAGAGTAGGTGATTCCTGACTGAATTCATTCATTAAGCAAAAAGTAACAACAGAATGAGCCCGCCCTCGCAGGAGCAAGCCCCCGCCTCTCCTCCCTCTCAGGTGTGCATCTTTACTCCTCTCTCCTGAACTCTGTAGGTCCCTACAAGACCTGAAACCCAGGGAGCAACGAGCCAGCGGCAGCCTGTCCCGGGCTAACCCCCGAACCTGTCTCCAAGGCCTCTTGTCTCTGCCTTTCTGATGAGCCAACGCAGCCCTGCCTGAGCTCTTTCCTGCTGCTGCTTCTACCTTTCCTTGTCTCACTGGCCCCAGCTTTAATGAACATACTATCAACTTTTTTTTTTTAAAAAGATAATCATGGGTGAGACTGCTCGAGGTCATAGAGAAATGGGACTTTCCTTCTGAACAGGTCGGCCTCCAGGGTAAGGGAGGGTTATTTCAGGAAGATCAAACACCCTTTCATCCCTATGTAAAATGAATTCTACTCTACTCAGAAATAAAAAGCATAATGTTTTTCAAAAATTTACTTTTAGTTAAATTTTAAAAAAAACTTTTCTTCCTGCTTGAAAATGTTTTACATGGTGCACTATTTACATGTGTCAATTCAATTAAGTTTCCCTCAAAGCAAACCACGCTGAGACTGCATGTGTACATGGGGTATGGAGGCATGTTTCCTAAGACATTTGCCAAGCAGGGACTTAGGATGAATCTGTACTTTAGAGCAAATCCTGATAAAATGTAGCCCAACAGTAAGAGGAGAATTTGCCATCCTCCAACATTAAGATGATAAAGAGGCCATGGGAGAACGAACAAGATAATAAAAACTTTTTTATATTATGTCAAAATATTTTCTTAAACTTGACCATAATGACAAAATCATGTCAACAGGCTCAACAGCACTGGAGATTTTTATTTTCACAAAGACACAGTTGTTTTACTCAGTGAAGAGAAAAGCTTCTACTGAGTGACTACATGGTTATAGAATTAGATGTTCACTAGAATTTAAAACATTCTCTCTGTTCACAAAGTACATTACAGTGACATACTTCTTTATCAAAAATATTTATAACCAGAAATAACTATAAAAGAACAGCAACATTTTTCAGGCCACCAGATACGAAGGAGGAATGCTTCACAAAAAACAAATGCTAACCAAAGTAATTGCAACTGTCCCAGAAAAAAAATAATAGGTATGTAACACAATACACAACGGAGTATTGGAACAAAGGTCAGGGATGCTGGGATGACATCGGAGGAAGCCTGGAGGTCAGAATGTGCCTGGGATGCCTTCAGGACTGACCCTGGGCAACGGGTCACAGGAAAGGAACTTCATAAATGGCTGAGACGTGCTGGAGTAAGTATTTAGCCTGGCATGGAAAAGCCTTCCATCTAGGCTATCTCCAGATTTTTGGTTCAGTTCCAGGGGTTAGAACAAACTGGTGACGGCTACAGAAAGGGAGATGCGGCCTCAGGATAAGCAGGAGCTTTTCTAAGACACACACAGTTTGTCTAGATAAGATGGGATGCTTATTGGCTCAGCCCTTCTTACTGGAGACACTTGAACATAGGCTAACCTACCACTAAGGAGAAGATCTTTCCTTGCTCCATTGAGGAGAAAAGAGAAGAGCAGTACTGAGATCACTAAATAGGCAAAGAAACTGGAGGGAGAACAGGGAGTGTACTGCAGACTAATAGCAAGAAAAGAAAAGGAAGCAGAAAGAGAAAGCCTGGGGCAAGACACAAAACTTTACAAGTTTCACTCTCCTTAGAATGGATTCAGGGCAAAATTACCGGTTCAGGGCAAAAAGAAGTGAGGCACAGAGAATTTTGCATGATTTATGAAGTCGTGTATTTGTTATTTGTATCACAGCAGACTTCACACAAAGGTTTCTAATAATTCAGTTATCTATATTTTCCTTGTAGGGTATGTCAAAAGCTCAAAACTGCTTAAATTGTTTCACTCAAAATTACTGTATATTTGAAAATCAACTGAAGTAGAATAAAGAACTATAATATATAAAACATCATGATATACTTACTGGGCATACCAGAATAAATGCCTTTTCTATCCTTTCCACAAACAGTCAGATTCTGGAATTCCCGTACAGCCACACATGGGCGTCACCCTCACATATGCTATTAAATAAGGCTGTTCTTTCCTTGAGGGCGCCCGTTCATATTTGCCCTAAGTTAAACTTTCTTCCTGTGGATCCACGCTCATTCTCCAGGCTATATTATATTAAAAATAAAAATTTTTAATTTCTTTTACCAACTCAAAGTCCTTGTAAATGAGCCACAGTGAAAATGGGTAAGATAAAGTCAACTTCTAACCGTAACCTACTTTCAAAGCTTACCATTAGGCGAGCATCTTCTCGTTCCAAAATTTTCTGAGTCTGATCATCAGGGAACTTCAGTACAGTGGTTATAACTTTTGCCATGGTCTACAAGAAAAGTAGGAGACGATCACTGACAGACACGGGAGCAGAAGCGTCAACCCATTCCGACACGTTCTCTGGTGAGATTCTTTAGTGCTCTCAATGGAAGCCACAACCAAAGAAGTATGATGTGAAGGTATCAGTCAAGGAAATACCAGCCAACACTAGAATTTCAATTTAAAAATACTCCTCACAATGTCTGGTTGATATTATTTTAAGAAGATGCATTTACAATAGCATGAAGCTATATAAAATTCTAATGCTCTTGGCCCTTTTTCTTATTAAGATGAAACTTTATTACTCATTCATTTTATAAGGCTTTTTATTTGTAGAAATCTATCTAGCAAGTGATGTATTGCCAAAACATATGCTCTAAATAATCAGAACTGGGTACTCCCAAGTTCAGCTTTAACTAAATCACATCATATATCTCATAAACATGGGCTACTGCATGAACATGAACATGCTTAGTAGATATTTTTAAGACATGCAGCACATCAACCTAATAGAAATACAAATTACATTTTAAATAAACACAAGATGTTTCATTTGGTAGAAAACATGATGAATCAAACATTACACATGGTGGCTTGCAAAACAAGATCATAAATTGTGTAGATCTAAATAAATATACCGTAAGTCAGACTGTACCCATAAGCTCCTGGAAAATTCTCCTCAAAGGTTGAAATTCCCTATTCTGTGTCAAGATGAGATGTTTTGAGGGAGACAGAGAGGAAAGAAGATACCACTTATGAAATAGGTAGGACAACAAGTTTAGAGCTTACATACAAATGCCGGTGCTAGCGCCCTCCTGAGGACCCTCCGGGGGCGGGGAGGGCCGCCCAGAGGCCTGACTCTAACACGCTTCGTTCACGGTTACACAGACTGTGTGGTGGTGGTGGCGGTGGTGGAAGGGAAGAGGGGGTGGAGGAGACAGACCAGAGAAGGTCACTGAGGATAAGGTGACATAATAGAGTTAACCAAAAATTTTGGAAACTCACATCATTAGGGAAAAAAAGTATCATTATTTCCAGGAAGGGAAGAAAGGAACATTTTTTTTTTAATTCGCAGCAAGTGCTAAGCCTAAGCAAAGTCCTTCACACACTTCTAATATTTATTTGAACTAAGAGATCAACTAATACCATGACCTTCAACACAACAAGATTTTAGTTTCAGCCCCCATCATTCTTTTTATTTTTTGCCTCTGCCTTTGATGATTTCAAAAAAAAAAAACCAAACAAACAACATTTAAAACTACTTAGTTCTTGGAGAATTGGAATTTCTTGTAAAATCCCAAAGGCATTTTACAAAAACGTTCATCCTTTATATTATATTGCTGAAGTCTAAAAATGAGGCATAAATGCAGCATGAAATGGCAAGAGAAACATGAAATAGTAACTATTTCAGTATTTTTTTATTAACACTCTGAAGCAACTTTAAATGTTTCCTGGTATACTATCTATGAAGGCTGTTTTTAGGAAATAACAGAAATCTAAAATTCAGAAATTTACAATTCTAAGACTTTCTTTAATTTCAAGAGCTTATAAAGTTGAAAGTACCCCAAAATTCATTTACATTCACTATGAAACCACATATACAAGGACACACAAGCATGTCTGTCAAAAAAGAAAATAACTGTGGCTAGTGTCTTTTCACATTTCTAGACAATGGTAAAGGGAAACCCACCTCTAAATTCATCAGCAATTCATCAGAATTTGCAGCTTATCACCCAGTAAAGGCTTAAAGCTCTTCCCTAGCATGCCACACAACACTTCCGTGGAGAAGCCCAGCTCTCTGCCATACCATGGGAAAGAAACCAGACTCCCTACTCTATACACAATGTCTTCAGGCCCTGGGAGTAAGCAAAGTTCAAATGAGCCGCCTGGTTCAGAAGTGGCTCTGTTGCCAGGTTTTCTTTAGGGAGAGGATTCAATAAAAGTCAGGATGAGAAACAATTTCTATTGAAAAGGAGAACAGGCTGACTTTTAGTATCAATAATAGCACAAAGGATCAAAACCCAAGACAAAGAAACCAAGAAGAGAAGAAAGAATAGGAGCTTACTTTTACTTCATACCCTAAGAATGTGTGTCCTATGTGTGGTCTTAAAAAAATCATCTTCCTCATAAAATTAAAAACATTGTGTGCAAAGGCAGATGAAGAAACACAGGTGGGGTGAACTACAGATCCTGCCAGACAAGAAACAACTGCAGATGAGGATCAAATTGCAGTGGCCACAATAGAACTCTGGCTCATTCTATAGCCATAATCTGGTCTCTACTTCGAATTCTTTATTAATGTGTAAAAATTGGACAAATCAGCAAAACGTATGTCTAAAACAGCTCTGACCTTGTCAACCCCTACTCAAAATTTTCCAGGGCTACCCCACAACCCCTCCAGGTAAAGCTGAAAACACTCCAGGCCCGCCACACTGCACCCTAAAGCAGTCGCTTCCACCGTGCAGATCCAGTGTTTTAATTGGACCAGACGAAATGTCTTCCAAAACCCACACTCAATTTCCTGCCTTGGACCTCTGTCTAGGCTTTCCCTCCTATCTGAGCTCATCTATCAAAATCCCCCCCCGTCCCCTCCCCGTCCCCTTTAAGCCCAGCAGACACACCGGCCTCTCCACGTCGTCTTCCTTGACCTTCCCACAAGTAAACATGAAGACTCTGCGCCTCTCTTAAGCATCACATTATATCCTTGACTGAGAACAGCTCCCCTTCCCTACTACAGACAGTCCTTGACTTACAGTGGTTCAAATTAAATGATTTTTCAACTTTATAATGAGGCAAAAGCAATATGCATAATAAATAACATGAAATAGTCAATACTTTACTACAAAATAGGCTTTATGTTAGACAACTTTGCCCATCTGCAGGCTAATGCAAATGCTCTCAGTATTTTTAAGGTAGGCGAGACCAAGCTATGATATTCAGCAGGTAAGGTGTTTTAAGTGCATTCGACATGGTATTTTTAATTTACAATGGGTTAACAGGAAGTAACTCCCCTGAAAGTAAGTCAAGGAGCATCTGTATATGGTATTCTCCTTTAAATTAGGGGTGGTCTCAAATTTCATCTCCCTATCCATCCTGGTGATAAACAAAGGGCCACAGGTAGTTAAGTGTTCAATAAGTATGCAGTAAATTAAATGGAAAATCTGCTACCGATTTTCAATATTTACTTGTAAGATGTGAATGCAGAATGAGAGACTAGTCATCATTTTTAGTAACTAGAAAAATATACTGCATGATGGAGATGAAGACCAGAGAGAGGACTCCTTGCCTTGAAGACGTCCCTTTCAGCTGTCTCCCAAGTCACACCCTAAAACTAACTGCTAAGCCCTGAACACACCAGCTGAGACCTGGCTGAAGGCAGTGCCGCAGACACATACTATGTGTGTGCTGCGTTTTTCTTCAGAAGGACCTAACACTCTGTAGAGACCTCATCCCACACATGTTCGCAGCCTCCAAAAGAAAGAGCTCATTGAGACAGTCTCTTAATTTCACAGATCAAGAAAAGGTTAAATAATTTATTTAGCAACAACGCTGGGATGATAGTTTTAGAGTACAAATGGACCAAAGTAGCTAAAGTTCTAAGAGGTTATTTTTTTTTAAAGTATGCCTTTCCGCCTTCCCTGCAATAACAAGGTAACATAAACTAACCTCACCTCAAACACAGGCTGCTATCCAATAAATATATAATAAGAGAAAGTTATATTTAATTAGCTTTGTTTTTAAAAGAGGACAAAGTTAGTTTTAGCTATCCTTTACCAAAAAAAAAAAAAAAAAAAAAAAGGTCCTTAGGAAACAAAGACTCTGAATCACTGTGAATCCTCCCGTGATACACATTCAGGATCACACTAGTTATTACTTTAATTTGAAACTATTTGATACAACAAAATGAGATTTCTATAGATATGAAGGACTCAAATGACTCTAGCCCTGTAACTTCTAGTGTTTAGCTGAATCTATAATCCATAAATTCGTAATATTAAGAAATTTTCTTATTGCTCTTACTTTTGTTTTAAATATATTTCAAATCGACCCCTGAAATGGTTTTATGACTCAGTAACCCCCACAGACTCATAAATTAAAACACTGACTGTTTCTAAGAATAGAAAACTCATTATCCCATTCTCGGCCAAAGTATAGAGGCTTTGTAAAAGTTCATGTAGGTAAAAACTTGAAACAGTATCAGAAAAAGAAATTGCTTTAAATGGAAAATTTTGTTGGAGGAAAGATTCATGAATTTCCCTAAATGCATTTAATTCAATTCAAGATATAGTTACTAGAAGTCCAATAACACTGTAGGGGATATAAATAACACTCTATACTCAAGAACCTTACAATAAATTTAATCTCCTAAAAAACAAATTAGCCAAGCATTATTACTCATATAATGTGATAATTTTTTAATGATCAATATTCCCTGTGTGAAGGAATGACTTTCTTACAGTGACTAATGTAAAATATTTCTAAATATCCCCAACTAGTCATTCTTAATTATGACCATTTCCAGTACTCTCACACTATAAAATCTATTACCCTAACTTCAAGATCTGGAAGTTAAAAATTAAATAGTCACATGCTTCACAAAGTATTAAGTTAATGAAATTTTAAATTTTAGTATTTTGCATTATCCAACAGTCTTTTTTAAATTAATACTTTATAAACGTAAGAGATATAAGCAAAATCTGCCAATTAACTTCTGTAAATTACGAGCAATGACACAAGTACCTGTCACCTACTACTAGCATGTATGGTCTGTTAGTCGTACACATATGGAATCAGTATGTGCATTAAAAATGGGACATATTTCCTTTTAAATTAAGCCACATGCCAAATCACCCATCATGATTTATACCTTAGTCTCACGACCCATCATATACTCAAAAAGCACTTTTCGCAAATACTCAAATTCGGTTGGTTCTCCGAAGAGCGAGACATTAGTATGGTACAAATTGCCACCTGTCAAATAAAACACAGATCAAACTGTAAAGACAAAACTAGATACACTACTTATTACTTAGAAAATAGACAAACGACAAAACAACTAAACAAAGAGATGCATCATTCTTGTTATTAATTATATTATATTGCATGGTATTGTGTTGTATATACATAAAGTATTCCAAAGGGTATTCTTCCCTTGTAAGAGAAAACGAAGATTATTACAGTAACCTTATTTCTCACATTTTTTCTTCCTCTTCCACCCCCTCCTCCTTCTTCTGCAATGGCAATTCTAAAAGACTATACTTAGGGAATACAAAGATTCCTTAAAACTGGTTTTCTTTCTTAAATATTATGTGTTGACTTCTACAATGATTAAAATTAACAATGATTTTTTATTTTATTGAGAATTTAGTATCTCAGCCCTGGCTGGTGTGGCTCAGTGGACTGAGTGCCAGTCTGTGAACCAAAGGGTTGCGGGTTCAATTTCCAGTCAGGGCACTTGCCTGGGTTGCAGGCCAGGGCCCCAGTAGGGGGCGCATGAGAGGCAACTACACACTGATGTTTCTCTCTTTTCCCCTTTCCTTCCCCTCTCTCTTTTCTCCTTTCCTTCCCCTCTCTCTAAAAAATAAATAAAATCTTAAAAGAAAAGAATTTACTATCTCAGAATAGCATTCTAGTTTTTCTAGTATTTCAAGCCTAAAAGCACTCTAAGTTTAAATCAAGTTTTCAAAAACTGTTTCTGAAACAGAATAAAATAGTTTGAAAATGTATGATTAATGTCATTACAATGGTTTCCAAATATTTTGATTCACAGCTTTTAAAGACTTCCATAAAAAGTTATAGTTCATTTGTTAAGCTCTATTCAATCTAAAAGTAAAGAATAAATACAGGTCAGATATATGAAGTAACACTATGCCAAATTTTAATCTGAATAAACTCATAATTATGCATTATGTGAAGTCTATATTTGCATCAACTTCCAGGAATATGGCACATTAGGTAATATGAAAAGCCCTCTGCTATCAAGAAACATCTAAATACTGCGTGAAAATATTCTAGGATCGTAGGAAATCCCTAAAGGGGTAGAGGAACATAGGAAAACTAAGCTACAAATTTAAAAGACAAGGCGAATGGCAACCTGGGAATGCCCAAACAGTCAAAACCCATATTGGGTGTTTCTCAGGAAACCAGAGACTAGGCTTTGGGCCCCTAGGAAGGGGATCTGCGCTTATGCTGTAACATAAGAACAGTGAGATAGAAGACTGAAGAGCAGCACAACGCGCCTCAGAGGTCCGGCCCCTTCTAGACGGCCGTTTCCAAGGTGCACACTGGTCTCCGTACTTCATTTTACATCGTGTGTGTGCGCGCACGTTTGGACTACTTCATTTTTTAAAAGTATGTATTTTTAGAACACTGAAGTCACTCAACACACACTTTACAAATACAGAGCACCAAGAACTAAATAATAATACAGTATTTCCTCCTCAAAAAATACATGTTTCATCTCTCTAGATCAGTGACTTTCAACCTTTTTCATCTCATGACACACATAAACTAATTACTAAAATTCGGTGGGACACCAAAAAAAATGTTTTTGGTGATCTGACCAAAAAAAAGGTATAATCCCAATTCATTCATACAGGATGGCTATTGTTGTTTTACTATTGTCAGTTTTTTATTTGACAATCTAAGGATAAAGAAGTCAGTGCCCTGACTAAATAGTCAGGTACTACATGTTCTGAAAATTCCTGCAGCGCACCACTTGAAAAACCACTGCTCTAGATCAACACAAAATGCAAACGTTTACATTTTTCACTTTTCAAAAAATAACTGATTTTATTGTTTTAAACATTAGATTACTTATTTGTAGCTATTTTCCTGGAAAAGAAATTAATACTTTTTCCTGCATGGCAGGTGCTCATTTTACTCTTTAAAGAAGTGGCATGGTGAAGAGACTGATGTGCATATTTAACCAGACAACTTTGCTTATGGAGAGGATTAAATAAGTTGATAAGCAAAATGTATTTTATAACAGCGCTTGGCAGTTGATATTTTTGGTGATTATTAAATAAACTACATACGATCATTTTACAACTTAAAACTGAGAAAAAAATTATGTATGAAATTCTTAAGTTGAAACGTACCAAAAAGAATCAATACTATTTTTATGCACTGCTGAGCACTGATTCAGCAATTCTATGCTGAGAATCACATATGCTTAGGCTGAGACTTAGCCATGACAAGCGACCTTTGTAGCAAGAGTCTTCTCCTCAATAAGCCATAGGAAACTTCCACATCAGTTTTCCCTTCTTTTTGAAAAGGATTTTGGAAAGAATCCAAAACAAGTTCTTATTTAATTAAAAATTATGTAGTATCTTTTATTATTTCATAGCAATAAGCACTTTCAAAAATACAAAGGAATGCAAAATAGTTAAGCTTCATGTCCTAGTACTTCCTATGAAAAAGCAGAAAGCTTTACAAAATACTTGTAAAATATATTACAAATATCAAAAGCAAAATCAAACTATTTTGAATGCAGTGAGGCAGTAAAACTGAGAATGAAAAATTGTTATGAGATTATTCAATGATGATTATCTCAAGGGAACAACTACATACAATGCCTAGCTGAGCTTTAAAATTCTTTGTATGTGGCATACATTATTTAAATTGAGACTAATATTTCCAAATCATCTGTCCCCAACTTGCATATAAGAATGTTTACAAAATTATTTTCTCCTTAAATCCTGGTTTATAATTCAGTAATTATATCATTATTGTAACAGTAAAAAACAGAAGCATATAAAATATGTAACTGTGTGTGTATGAGTACATGGAGTGGATTACATACATAAGAGTCTGGAAAAATATACAGAAACTGTCAACTAGATCCATTTGGAGAATGGAGACTAAAGTGGGGACTTGCAGTTCACTTGTACACTGTAGCATTATTTGAATTTTTAAACAACAAATATGCATTAATTTTGTTTTAGATTACCACCACTCTCTCCTTAAAACCAGCTGTTATTGGTGAATGACAAAGGTAAATGTATTCATTGTAAAGAATAAAATTAGCAAAGAGAAAAATAAAAATCATCCATAAATCTACCAATTAGAGATAACCATGGATAACATCATATGAGAGATCATTCTTACTTTTGTAAGGTGTCCCCCCAGGTGTTGCATATACATTCTTTTCATATTTCTTCAAACGGTCTTCTAAATTGTGAATCTAAAATAATAAATATTTACATCATATCATAAAATTCACATGGAGACCATATGGGGGGAAAAAGGGACTGCTGTAGCCACTAAATTTTTTTAATGCTGAAAACAGCCTATCGCCAAATAAAATTAATACAAATGGCTTCTCAGGCATGACACCAAAAGTACAGACACCAGAAGAAAAAATATTTAAGTTGAACTTTAACAAAAGTAAAATTTTTGTGCCTCAAAGGATCTCATCAAAAAAATGAAAAAACCACCTACAGAATGGGAGAAAATATTTGCAAATCACACATCTGATAAGGGACTTATATCCAAGATATATAAAGGACACTTAAAACTCAACAACAAAAAAACAAATAATCCAACTAAAAAATGAGCTAAGGACTTGAATAGACACTACTCCAAAGAAGATATACAGCCAGATGATAAGATGCTCGACATCACGGCTCATTAGGAAAATGTCAATTAAAACTATAATGACATACCATTTCATACTAGGAGGGCTATAATCAAAAAACTTGGTAAGAATGTGGAGAAATTAGAATCTTTATATTTTTTAATAGGAATGTAAAATGGTGCCACTACGTAAAATAGTTTGGTAGTTCCTCAAAAAAGTTAAGACATATAATTACCATATGATCTAGCAATTCCACTCCTGGGAATATATTCCAAAGAATTGGAAACAGGTGTTCAAACAAAATCACAAAGCCAACTATTAAATCAGCTCCTTTTTAATTAGTTAAAAGAGATCCAAATACATACTAACATAAATTAAGGAAGGTAGTTAAAATAAAAAGCACCAATTAGACCTGTACCTGTTCTCTGAACTCCTGCTCTTTCAACTTTGAATCATTGATCAGAGTGGTCTTCTGTGCTAGTTGTGTCTGAAAGAACAAAACATCAAATCTGAAATGCATATGGGTTCCATCACTGTCTGAACACTTTTCTGTACTGGTTGGGAATTTTTTTTTGAAATTAAAATAGTTTATGTTTTAACTTAAAACTCACAATGCTCCTGAAAATGCACTACCTTCATTCAAATTCAATGAAGATTTAGTCTTACCTGCAGCTCCATAATTGATACCTGAAAATTGAAAAGAAAAAAAATGAGTGAATACAATTCAATAAAATGGAGTAATATGAAATTACAAAGAAATAAGAATTCAATGTTAGTCTTAAGAGCATGGTCAGGTTTAAAATGAGACAATTTTAAATATTTGCTTTTAAACCTCATCTATTCTGCTGTACAAACTATTACGGTATAAATACAAACTCACCGAACTTTGTTAACAATGAACACCACTTGGCCGGGGAGGCACCCACCAGGGAGGGCTTATTGTATGTACTTCTGTATTATCTGACTCTTCCAACAAGAACATACTCATGTATTGTTTGTATAATTTGTAAGAAATTAAACATGTTCATATCTATTTCAAGCATATGGGCCCTTTAAGGAAACTTTTAAACAACTATTTCAAAGAATCTACTCTGAACTATAATTACAAATTTTTCATTGAACTCAACACTGATATGCAATTCAAGATACAGCAGAAAAAACAAAAGGAAAGAAAAGGATACAAATTCATGAAGAAAATAAAAAGCTATTTCTTAGAGTAGGAATGAAAATTAAGGATATTTCCTCCTATGGCACAAGGACTCAGAAAACCTGAATATTAATTTCATAATCTTTCAATACTCTATGCCATTCCAACACAGGTCAAAATGTCACTACAAGCAACACTAATACTTATTTTGATGTCAAGGAAAAGAACATGTTAGACAGTGAAATACATGTATTTTTCTTATAGGAAGTAGTATTTTATAGCACCTGGTATATTCACATCATGACCAAACAGCAAAAAAACAAAAACAAAACAAACCCTAAAATAACAGAACCTTGTAGCCATTAAAGAAACAGAGAAAAGTCCACATAGCTTGCTCAATGTTAATAACTAAGATAGATACCAAGTGGCACAGTACAGCAAAGCATATCATAAAGGCCTCTTCTCTCCATTTTGGGAAAGTGGTCCATGTAATTGGTGTCGGGAAAATTTCTACCTGGTAACTGATATTCTGTAATGAATCACCTATAACTATCAAGGATAAAGATATGAACAGTGCTAACCTACATTCCTGAGCCCCTCATGGCAATGCTATGAAAAGGCCATACTGGATGAGTGAGAGTATTTCAGGGAGCAGAACGGTACACTGACCGGCTTCTCATATTCAGACCCACATGCCCTGTGGGAGGGCACTTGCTGGGGTGCACAGTACAACAGGAAGCCACAGGGTAAACATGGCCTATCTTTCATAGCAACAACTTTACTTAAAGATTGGGATGATAGCTCTGGCCAGGTGGCTCAGTTGGTTAGAGCACCATCCTGGACATCAAAAAATGGTTGCAGGTTCAATTCCCAGTCAGGGCACATACCTAGGTAGCAGGTTCGATCCCCAGTCAGGGTGCATATGGGAGGCAGCCAACTGATGTCTCTCTCACATTGATGTGTCTCCCTCTCCCTCTTTCCCTCCCTCCCTAAAATCAATAAACATATCCTCAGATGAGGATTAAAAAAATGGGATTATAAAAATGCCTAGATACACAGTGCCAGATCTCTTTGAATTAAGTCCAATTTTCGAACTAATCCCATTACATTTGCATCTGACTCATTAGCCAAGGAGAAAAACAGGAATTGTTTTTAATGGTATATAACTAAAAATATTTCTATGTGACTACAAATAAGGCTATATTAGAGTAGCATATAAAATTTACATGAATTTTTAACACAAAAGTATAAAAATCTAAAATTATCACACTTTCTATAGACCACTTCTGCTATGCCTCAAGCTGTGAGGTTCACTATCCTCCGCTGCTCTTTCCATGGAAAAGGCTGAGAAGCACTAGTATAACAGAATTGTCTAGGGCTTGGGGGTGTCCAACCTTTTGGTGTCTCTGGGCCACACTAGAAGACGAGTTGTCTTGGGCCACATATTAAATACACAAGTGCTAAGGAAAACTGATGAGCTAGGAAAAGGTTTTAAGTAAATTTACGATTTTATGTTGGGCAGCAATCACTGCCATCCTGGGCTGCATGCAGCCCAAGGGCTGGACACCCCTGGCTGGGCTTTGAAGTCTGGCACATCAGGTTTAAATTCCCAATACAACATTAATTAGTGAGCTTGAACATTTTATTTAACCTCTTTGAACTTGAGTTTCACTGTCTATAAAATACAGGCAAAGGTTTTTGTTAGGATTAGATGAGGTAGGTATGTGTTAATGTGTCAAATAATGGAAATGACAACATTTTCAAGAAATAATGTGACACAAAGTCCAGTTCCTCTCACTTTATCATTGCCCGGGTTTTCTTCCTGCTGCAGCCTTTGCTGATATTCCTTCTGCAGTTCCTCAAGTTGAGTCTGCAGGTCCATCACTTTTGCAGTCATTTCTTCTTCACGAGCCTTTAGAATAAAAAAATGTGTTAATAAACTTATCAAAAAGAACATAGGAGAGAGACAACACCGTATAGAGAAAACCACCTCAGTAGGACAAACCTAAACACTTTTTGCGTCAGCATCTGTGCTAAAATAACATTTGGAATTAGAATACTGATCAAATTTAAGTAATGAAGACAGGGCAAGTGTCTGCTGAGTAAACGTCTAAATAGGAAAAACAAATGCAAACAGGTATCTGATTTAACAGATGCTGACTTGTGAGAACCAAGGAACAGACTCAAAAACAAACAAAAATAGGCCCCATGGCACAAAATAAGGCAATGAGCCACCACAGGACACATAAAAATCCCCTTTTAAATACCACTTGCGATGAGTTTAGACCACCTGAAAAAGAACGAACTCCTTCTCCCAACATAAGCAAAGCAGCTCCCCACGAGCGCCCCGCCGAGTCACACTTTACCCCCACTACCGCCCCCTGAACTGTCATTAACCGGAAACTGTTCTAAGCACCTCACTGCCCGCAGTCTTGGTTTTGTTTCTATTCTACATCTACCGTCCTGTGTGAATGGTCCTTGTCAATGTGGCATAGCCTTGTTTGAAAGAATCATCTCTTAGCTCTTTATTCAGTTAAGCCCAGATTTTAATATGACAGTTAGCTATGTCCAATAATTCCTTTGACTGTTGTGGGATACCAATCTAAAGCAAGCCCTCTAAGAATTACAAACGAATCTGTAATGTGTTATTTCTAATTTAAGGTATAGGTCTGTAGTTCCCTTTGTAAAAATTTCCTAGTCTTCCTGGAGGGAAAAAAAAAAAAAAACAGTACTACTTGTTTTGAAGCAAAAACAGTAAGGAAAATTAGACTGAATATTAATGCACACATGTGGAAATTATGATTGAAAGACTAGCTATTATGCCAAAGCCAAATCACTAAAATACAATCACTGTCAAAAAGAAACCAGTTTTGTAGCCAGTATAGCTTTAGGAGCTACTTCCTCCCAGCGAAACTGCTCTTAGGCTGGGACTAAGGCAATTAGGCAAGTTCCTTTACTTGGGCCTACTCAATTCCTCCTCTGAGATGCCACCACCTCTCTTCCCAAATAAAGTCTCCCCTGCCCTTCCACATGTCATCTCCTTCACAGTGTCTTGTATGAGCCAAGCATTTGGCTAGGTTCTCAAGATTAGAGATGAGTAACAAAATCCCTGCCCACAAGATGCGCACAGTCTAGGGGAGAGGACAGATATGTGAATACATCTATACATATATGCATATATGTATGAGAAAAATCACATTATAAGTGAAATAATAAATAGATAAGTACAAAGGAAAACAGATGCAATTAATTCCATTTAAAGGGTTTGCAAAAAACTGTAAGTGAAAACAGTAGGATGCAGGAAAGTATAGTTAAAGAAGCTAACTTTGGGTGGGAAAGAAAAAAATAAGAAAGTTTCGTTTTTGTTCTGGTTTGCATAAGGAAATACTGGAATATTACATAAGAAATTAATGGTTACCTGTGGAGGAGGAAGAAGGACAGGAGGCAGAATACAGAGAATAGAAACAGGAATAATTTTCATTACAGCCCATTCTCCGACTATATTTTGTTGTATTATCTAGATCTTTAAACCACATGAATACATTCCATCAAAAAATTTTTTTCTAAGTGAAACTTAAAATTTTTAAACTTTTTTTAAAAAAAGCAAAATGGGAGGTGATTAACAGCTTCACTGATGCATAAGGTTTGAGAATGTGATCTTTAGGCACACAGAAAAGCATGAGCAAAGGTAAAATACAGTGAAGAACAAGTTAAAGTTGAGTTTGGCTGGAACACAGACTGCACTGGAGGAGGTGTCACCAGGAGCCCCCAGAGACATCTAGGAGGGGAGATGATATGATCACATTTGTTTCAAGACAGAAAATAACACTGGCGAAGAGATGAGTACCTTAGAAGAAATATCAGCAGTAAGGCAGACCAGACCAGATGGAAGATGGCAGCCCAGACCGAGGCAGTAGCGGTGGAGTTATATAGGAGGGGAACATGTAGTAGAAGTCAGTTAAAAAACTCCTCCTAAGAGCCTACTGTATGTTGGATATTGTGCTAGAGATACACAATTAAAGGGAGACAGAGGACGCAAGCAGATTTCTTGTCCTAAAAGGTGAATGGGTATAAATACATGTGTGACATGACTATGTAATACATACAAATCCTATATAAAATTCTAATACCAGTAGTTTCTAAATGAGAAAAATGGTAAGAGGATATGTTTCAGAATCAAAGCAATATGGTGTTTGCTGAGAATTATTAATATCAACTTCTAGTAATGTTTACATTTTCAAAAAGAAATTCTTCAAGACAGAGTATGTATTTGGAGTATTTAGACAAGGACTGCCTGCTTCATCACAAAGTCAACCCTAGATCTGGCCGTTGAAAGTCTAGGGGCACACTGTCTAATATAGTAACCACTAGGTACCCCAGGACTGTGACCGTGGGCACTTGAAATGTGGCTAAGCTGAGATGGGCTCTAAATGTGAAAACATTCTCATCTCAAAACTTAATACGTATATAATTTTTACACTCACTACATATTAAAAAGATGTTTTTGATATAATGAGTTAGTTAAAATATTATTAAAATTAAACTCACTGTTTTGGGGTTTTTTTGTGTGTGGCTACTAAAAACTAATTACCTATGTGGCTCACATTGTGGCTTACGTTATATTTCCAATGGACAGTACTGGTCTAAGACACAGGAAGGAGCTGGGGGAAAATGTAACCAATTCCTTTGCCCACCTTCCACTTCCTGCCCACTTGCTCTGTTACTCTAAGCCTAAAGCTTAAAGGACCCTTTGCTTAATTTTCTCTAATAAATAGCAGATTTTCAAGGATGAACCATACCAAAGGCTAATCTCTCTCCCTGTTCCCTCACCCCTCTACCTACACATCTGTCATGATCTAGGAAAACCTACCCACCGCTACCCCACACATCCAGATAGAGAGAAGTAGTTCACAATAGGGAACTCCACAGCTCCCTGACTTAATCACCCATGGTAACTGTTGCCTTCCCACAGTTCCTTTCGGAAGGAAAAGACTATGAAATATATAAAGCTGATGAAGAGTTAATGCTCAAACACTCACTAGGTAGTTCTGGGATAATCATTCAACTATGCTAAACTGGCTTTTCTTTCTGGAAAAAAAAAACAAAAACAGAAGATGAAACTAAGCTAGTTTTAATGTATCTTCCAATTCTCTAAGCATTCAAGAAACAATAGTATTTTTAAAAACGTCACACATATATGCTCTATGGAAGTATAAAATAAGTGCAAAATTATTTGTAACGAGATATAAAGCTCAAACAGTATATAAAGGTGCCATTTATATGCATGTGTCACCCCCTGGAATTTCAGCCTTTTAAGTTAAGAATCTATTCCTGGCTGAGACTTCTACTGCTGCCATAGTCAGTTGAGACATGATTCGCTGACTGATACATTCTTAATCATCAAATGGTTCTTAGAATATAGCAAAGTAAGGCTTGGAGTAACTAACAAATCTGCAACCCAGTGAAGAAGAATAATTTACATGTTTTACATTTGGAAATATTTTAGAGTCCAAAATACTCATTAGCACTCAACGCTTATCTTCACACAAAAAGTAACAATGATAATCCACCATTAGTGGAATAAGCACACTGAAATATTCTTCCACTACATATAAAAGATCTGGCTGATGCATTCCTCTTCTGCCCATCTTTTAAATCCCTTGAGACAAACAAAACCCATGTAAATTGGGTAGGGGTAAATAAAGGCAACTGGCCCTCCTGGAAAGATCTCAGCTAGCTAAGCGGCCACACTAAAACACACACAATCTGTTCTATTACTTAGGCTGCATCCAAGTCTCTCACAATTTAGCCTGACTTTGGGAGAAAGATAAATAAGAGAATAAATTCTTCCCCCTAGCAACTCACTGTTGCTTCAATACTTGCCAAGTGGACTGTACTGCCTGGTTAGCAGAATCTGATCAGGAAACTACAATCTTGGCAGAAGTCAATTACACTCCTTATAAACCTACATACAGTGTAGAAATACTAATCTGGATAATACTAAGCCAAAAAAAAGAGGAAGTCTGACAGCCCAATTTTCTTTAACACTACCATGAAATCTCTTACAGCTAAATTTCAAAATAGAGAAAATAATGTACATCAAGGATTTCTTCGTATCTTTGGGCGGTTCTTTTTAGATCATCTTCTTTCTCTGCAATTTTTTTATACAACTGATTTGTCTCTTCTTGATGGCTTTGCAAAAGTTCAGCCTCCACTTCCTGGGCTTTATCTAATAAATAAAAAATGGATACACACAAGAAAACACATTAGGTAAGAATTAATACCTATATCCCAATCTCAGTAAAAATCCATGTTTCAAATCAAATTTTATAAAAATCAACTGATCAAGTGTGCCCTTCCCACAGAGCAGAAGTGTCTTTACAAGGTAATCAACTCGCTAATGCCTTCAGGTTCATTACCCGGCCGCTCCTCTCAGTAAGGTAAGGCAGTGCCAGGCAGGAAAGGTTCCCATTAAAGAACTTTCTTGAGCAAGAATCATTTTTTTCTCCAATGTAATTACTTAAAGCACTTAGCAGAGTGTGCAACGATTAAGCTTAAATTATAAACAGTCTCTATTGAACTCTTTTTCTCTATTGAACTTAAAAATTTTTCTTACTTATGGTTTCTTTTACGGCAGTTTCCAGCTCCTGTTCCTTTTCTGCCAGCTGTGTGTGGAACTCCCTCATCAGCTGCTTTAACGTGGAATTGTGCTTCAACTCAAGATCTTCCTGCTCCTGCCTGAACAACAGACATATAACGTTAACCACTGTCATACAAAAGCAAGCTGTAAGTCACCCGGTCTTCACAACAGTGTACACATGACCGTCTCAGTAGGGCGCATGTGAGTGTGTGTGTGTGTGTGTGTGTGTGTGTGAATGTGTGTGTGTGTGTGTGTGTGTGTGTACACGTGTGTCTAGGCAAAGCAAACTTTGAAAGTATAAGTAAACTATGATTACCTTTAAGGAATGGTCCTGGGGATTTGAAATTTTTTCTTTTCCACTTGTCATTCCTTGGATATGTACCTAACATCATGATCTTATACGTAAGAGCTCTCCCCCACCCCCAACCCCACTAAATGGACACAGAGAAACACTCCCTCTGCCTGAAATGTTTCTTTTTCCCTCCTCATATTTAACTTATTAGATCTATGATTAATACTTCAGGTGGGTGACACTTAACTGTATTAGGCACCAAACAAAAAGGGACTCACTTAAAGACAACTGCCTTAAAAATATTTATGCTGAAAAAAAAACTTACTTGATTTTCTCTTCCATTTCTTGTTCATATTCTTTCCTCGTTATATCCAATTCTTGCTGATGCTCCTTCCGCAACATTCGAATATCTTTCTGCAATTTCATCATCTCCTTGCCCAGCTTCTGCTTCTCCTGCTCTGCTGCTGCTAATTTGAACTCCAGGTCGTTGTGCTCAGCCTCCATGTTACTAAGCAATTTGGGTTGGACCACATGTGATTTGGACTTTTCTTCAGCACTTTCTTCCAAAATTTCTGTGGGTTTACTTTTTCCATTCCTCTGTTGCTGCAAAGCCTGTAATTTTTCATATTTTGAGGTCAACGCTTCCATTTCAACTCTATGTTCTTCCTTCTCTTTAACTAAGCAGGAATCCAGCTCTTTTATCTTCTGCTCCAAAATCTGACAGGCTAGTTCCTTCTCCTGGAGGGTTTTCTGGACATCATCAACCACATTTTCCAAGTTTTGCTTTGCCCCTATGTTATTTTTACCTCTTTCTTCTTCCGTGTGCTGGGATACTATCAAGGAATATTTGTTTTTTTCTTCAAGTTCTTCTTGAAGATGATTAATCATAACTTGAGCCTCATGTTGCTTTGCTTCAGCCTGTTCTAGCTTTATTAAGAGCTCCTGGTATTTGCACTGCATTTCAGAATGAGAAGACATTGTCTCTTCTTTGTCCTGCTCTAGTCTCTGCAACAGGTTTTCCTTTTCAGTTAAATTTCTTTGTAAAACATTGATTTTTTCCTCACATGCCTTCTGCATACAGCCTTGGGAATCTGCTTCTTCTTGCTCAATACATGCTGCCACATTTTTTGCTGAACTGGGTACAACTGATGCTTCTGACTGTGGTGAACTTTCCATTGACTTAAGTTTTTCTTCCAAGATGTGAATTTCTCTTTCTCTTTCCTGTAATTTTGTGTTTAGCTCACTCAAATGGCTTTCTGTATCTTTTTTATACTGCTGTTCTCTCTCTTCCATTTGAGATAACAACTGCTTCTTGATGGCAGCAATTTTTTGTTCAGCTTTCTTCTTCAGTTCCACTAATTTTGTAGCACTCTCTGACTCAAGTCTATCCTCCAATGCCTTTAATGCCTCTTCTTTGCTTTTCACAGTAGAATTTGCATGTTCCAATTCTTCCTTCTTAGCTTCAAGTTCAGATTGCATGGAAGCCACTTGTTTTTCAAGTCTTAACACCTTTTCTTCAGTTTCTTTAACCCTGTTGTCCTTTTCTTCTCCTTGCTCTTGAATGTGCTGAAGTTTCTGAACCATTTCATTCTGTTCAATATCTTTTTGTTGATTATAATTTTTAAGAACTTCATTTAAGGACTCAATTTCATTTGTTTTCTGAGTAACATGCTCCTCTAATTCCAAAATTCTTGCTGTTTGAATTTTTAACTCAGTCTTTAAATTGCACTCCTTTTTATCCATCTTGCTCTTCTTATCTTCCATTTCACTCTTTAAACATTCAAATCTTTTATTTTGCTGATCAAGGTCTTCTTTCAATAAAGTTATCTGCTCATCCTTTTCACTGGCGTCCTTTGTTTTTGACTCAAGCTGCATCTGCAATTCTTTAATAGTATTTTGATACTGTGTAAATTTTGACTGTGCTTTCTTCTTCCATTCTGAAAATTTGTTAGATGAGTGATCTACCTGTTCAAGAGCAGAAATTTTCTCTTTGCTCAGAGTTTCAACTTTCAAAGATAAATCTTGCACCCGATCTAGCAATTCACGTTGTTCCTCATCATATCGCTTACTTAATGATGAAATGACTGCGTCTTTTTCAGTTAGGCTGATACTATTCTGAAGTTGAGCATTCAAATCAGTTAGTTGTTTACTCAGACTACTGATCTCAGATTTTTTTTCTTTAAGCTCTTCTTTCATCAGTGTGACAGCATTGATGTTTTCTGATAACTCTTTCTTCAACTGTGTGATACAAGACTCCTTTTCAGAGGCAGCCTGTTGCTGATTGCCCCCCTCCTTCTGTAAGGCTTCTTTTTCTGTTACAAGACCTTCAATATCGGCCTTCATGCTCTTAATTTGATTTTCTTTTTCTTCTAACTGATGGGTAGCCTGTTGAAAAGAACTACTTAGTGTATATTGCTCTTCTGTTAGCTGTCTAAGTTGTGCTTCTAATTCAGAAACTTTGCAAGTTTTAATTTGTAGTGCTTCCTTAATTTTAGTTGTATGGTGTTGACAATGGGAAATTCTAGAGAGAAGAGCATTAATTTTACTATTACTAAGGTTGATTAGTTCATTTGTTTTAGCTTGTAATAAGGCTTCAGTTTTCTTAGCATAAATATCCAGCTGAACTGCTATTTCCTCAGACAGTTTTTTGAATTCCAAGCTTTTGTCTTCTAGGCTTTTTTTACTTCTTTCCTGTGACGATTTGAAACTCTGAAATTCTTCATCTGTGGCTTTCAACTTGTCAGTCAACTCAGAAACCATAAGCTTATCTTTTTCTGACAGCGTCTTCAGTTCAACTACATGCTCCTGAAGAAAAGTATTTTCCTTCAGAGAATGCTTCAAGTCAACTTCCAGCTTTTCAAGTTGCGCCTTCAGTTTAGTTTCATTTTCTAAGAGAGAATTCATATGAGCAGACGTCTGGTTGACTTGTTCCTGTAACTCTTTTGATATTGTATCCTGCTTAATACATTCCTCCTTTAGACTTGCTATCTCCTTGTTCATCTCTTCCTTTTCACATCCAAATATGAGGATCTTCTGCTTCAGTTCTGCTACCTCTTGTTCCTTTTCCTGTAATTGGATTTTGTGTTTTTCCTGAAGCTCTTCACCTTGCTGATTCAGTTTCTTCTCCCAGTCTGATATTACATCACTAAGCTCCCGCCTGTGCACCTCAGTAAGACTTTCTATTTGCTCCTTTTGGTTTATTTCCAGCCTTGACACTGCCTCATTGATCCCAGCTGAGTTAGCCTGTGCCATTTCCAAAATTTTGGCATTGAGCTCTTTTTCTTTCTGACTAAGCTCTAGAACAGTATTTTCAAGCTCTTTTTTAAGTTTGGCTTCCTGATCCAACCATTTCTTCTTTAATGTTTCTTGCATCTCCTTTGCTTTCTGCTTAATTTTTTCCATTTTTTTTTCTTGATTTTTAAATTTGGTGTCATATTCCGCCTGTAATGTACTAATGCTGTCCTCCTTAGCTGACAGTTTCTGTCTGAGTGTTTCAATTTCTTTGCTCTGTTCTTCTCTCATTTGTAAAATTAAATTCTCCTTTTCCATCAAGATTTGCTTTGTCTGTTCCTGCTCTATGTTATTATCTTTAAGTTGGGACTCATAGAGTTGGGTTAGAGATTTTAGTTTTTCCTCCATTTCCCTATTCTGTGTTTCAAGTTGTTGCCTTAAGTCCTGCACCTGGATTTTGTGAGTGTCTAACTCAGTACAAACATCTTTCTTCTGTGTTTCAACTTCAGCTACCTGTTTGCTAAGATGAATTCTTTCTGCTTCCAAATCCAACAACTTCTGCTGCAACTGGGCCAACTCATCCTCATACGCTTTTGCCTGCTCATGTGTGGTACTCTGGTGTGACTGAAAAAGATCCAGCTTAGCAGATGCCTGCTGGAGTTCCCCTTCTGACCTTTTAATATCTGCCTCTAAATTTTCCACATGAGCCTGATGCTCTTTCAAATGATTATCCTTTTCCTTCAAAAGAAGCCTAAGTTGATTAATTTCATCTTTCAATGCCTTCTCAGTTCTCTGGATAGACATCTCTTGTTCTTTAATAATACTGTCAACTTGTTGCTGGTGATGATTTTTCTGTTCATCCAGCTTGGCTTCTAATTCCTGCTTCACTTTATTTGCTTGATTCTTTAGTACACAAAGTTCCTCTTCCAGCTTGTCGCGGGCCTTCAATACTTCTGACAGTTCAGAAGACAATGATTCCAGTTCCGTTTGCTTCACATCAAGCTTTTCTAATGTCCTTTCATTCATCTCTTCTACATGGGCCTGGAAGAGACTCTCTTTGTCTTTCAACAATGTTTCCTTTTCTTGTTCATACTTTTCTCTAAGTTTTTCCATTTCAGTCTGATGCTGATGCTTTAAGACTTGGAGTTTTTCAGACCAGAGGTTATCCTGCTGATGCTGCAGGCTTTCCAATTCTGTCTTGTGTTTTTCAACCATGATTGTAATTTCTTTATTGTGCTTATTTTTTTCAGCTTCCAAATGAATAGCCAAATCTTCTGACTGAATTTTGCTTTCTTGTAAGCTTTTTTCCAAAGAACTTTCTAACTCAAGAACTCTCTGTTAATAAAAACAGATGTTTTTATTAAGTACAGACTTATTAGCAATGCTATACCTGACATACCTGACCTGACATGATTAAAATTTAGATAAATAACTTTAGCTATCACAACAAACTTTAAAAAGAAAAAAATCTGTGCTCAACTCTTAAAGGAATTACGTAACCAAAAAAAGATTCTATTTTTAACATAACTCATAATTTCAGCTTCTTTCTACCTACATGGGTAACCATTCCACTACCTGTATTTCAAGAATATTTTATATGGATACTTATTAGGAAATAAATCATAAAGTAGATAATAGTAACTGTTGGTAGAAAGATGGGTGTTTTTTGAGGCCTATAATAGTATCCTATTACTCTCATAATTTAATTTTGGAAGATAAATAATGTATATGATTATTTTTATTACAATAATTATTATTCAGAAGATAATTTACAAAAAAAGGAACTTATGCAAATTTTACCAAAGATTATTATTATCCCAGGAAAATATCAATCTTGACTCTGAAGGAAAAGGGCTAAGTCAGAGCTGCAGAATGTCAGAGCAGGTCTTAAGGAATTACCAAATCCAATCTCTTCAGTTAACAGGTGGGAAAATTAATTTACAAAGCTGGTAAGTGGAAGATCTAGGACTGCATACCGATTCTCCTCCATCATGCCAACTTACATAAATGTTGGAAATGGGAAAATAAAGCAGTTTAGAACTATAGGTAGGAAGTGTGACTGTTTAACTATCTAAATCAGAACAGAACATCTAAATAAATGACACAGGTGAGTTTATTCAAAACAGGGTATACATTTCATATACTCCAGAAGAAAGAGCCAGAGGGCCTTAAAAATGTGCACACTGAGACATATATACACATGTTTATTATAGGGCTATGTTTAATATGGGAAAATTGGGAAAAACTTAAATGAAACTAAATTGCGATACAGAGAATAAATTATGTCCAGGACATGACATGTGATGAAGCTGGACAGGCAGAAAGGTACCAGGGGAAGGGCTGCCCACAAAGTAAGGCCACTTGCTAAAGATCAGGGTGAGTAAGCGATGGAGTTAAGAGATGCTATAGAGTACGAGTGCAAAGAATCAGAGTGAGTCCTGATAGAAATACAGGAGCTGAAAGCAGAGTCAGGAGCACCCTGTAGCAAACACCAAACTCATGAATAGTTAGTTGTTCCTACCAAAAATGAAGTGCATGGACATGTAAATATCTCAGTAAAACAAAAAACTTCTCTACAACTGGAGAGATAGCACAGTCTTCATATTCAATTTCACAGCTCTGGAACCTAAATACCATATAAACTTACAGTTCTGTAAGTCTCTGCTTCTTGCTGAATGTCCCGAAGTTTATTTTCACTCTCTGTGAGGATTGCTTTTTTCTGCAACTCTAACTCTTCTAGGGCCAGAGATTCTTGCTGTTCTTTTTCTTGGGAGATCTTCAAACATTCTGATTGACATTTTTCCTGTGCCAACAACAACACCACCTTAGACCCACATACGTCTCCTGCACTCCCTAAACACTTGCACAGAAATCACACATTTCTTTAGATCTGCACACTAGCCCCGTAAGGTAGGCGCACTATCATCACCTCTCCCTTCCTGTGCTCGGGTCTAAAGAAGCACAAGGCACTGTGGCTTTTTTACAGCGTGGTCTGGCCAATATTTGCCACAATCACAATTGATATGAAAAGTCTTGTTCCAGTAACCCCACTGCATCTGCTATTTTTCCACTATTTGAAATGTTTCAGAAAACTGCTGAATGTGAAAGGTCGCACAATTGCCACTAACTCTTCTCTGCACTCCAGAGTTTCCTTTTTAAACTCTAGGTGGAGAAACTAAATTATAAACTTACATAAGACCTCATTATAATAGGGAGTCCCACCAAACCAGTCAAAATCAGAGGATTACATATGAATACATGAATTAGATCCATGAAATACTATAAAAGCCTACCTAACTCTTTCCAGACAATTTGAGCTCTTTTACCATCAATCCTGAAAAGCTTCTTCTTTGATTGGTCTTATTATATCAACATTCACTGTGTGAACAGAGGAGCTCTAGAGAGCACTTAGTATTTAGCGGCTGTGGACTCCAATTAAGTATACCTACCCATACCTACTGCTGATGGCTGTGTTGCCAGCAACACTATTGTCAGCTTACCACACCCTAGGGAAGCATATTGCTTTAAGAAAATTTTGTACCATATTATAAATAGGTTGATAAGAAAATAATCCATTTCTAATCAATTTTAAACATACTATATTGTTTAATGTAAACTATATGTTAAATACATGTCCATATGTCCATAAAAATAAAAGGAAATTTTAACAGTATGTTGAATTTTGGCTCTCAACTCAAAGCTGACTTCTTTAAGAAACTAGGTGGAACAGGGAGTGGAACAGGGCAAGTGCATGCACATACGTGTGTGCTCTTTATGGTGTCTGTGTCTCACTCTCTATATTCGGAATATATCTGAATATATCAGTTCCTAGAGCACAGTTCAGGACTCGGTGCCCAAAAAGCCAACTACACCAGCATGAAAACATACAGCAGGTCTTATGACAAGAATTTTTAGCACAATTCCCAGCTTCATTTATGTCCCATTATGTTCCTTCATTTCTGTGCCACTATTTACTTATTTTTTAAATTACAGTTTACATTAAGTATTGTTTTGTATTAGTTTCAAGTGTACAGCACAGTAATTAGACAATAATGTACTTTACAAAGTGCTCCCCCTATACTTCAAGTACCCACCTGGCACCATACGCAGTTATTACATTATTACTGACTATATTCCCTATGCCATACTTTACATCCCTGTGACTGTTTTGTAACTACCAATTTGTACTTCTTAATCCCTTCACCTGTTTTACCCAGTCCCCCAGCCCCCTCCCTTCTGGCAGCCATCAGCCTGATCTCTGTCTATGAGTCTGTTTCTACTTTGTTTATTTGTTTTGCTCTTACGACTCTACATACAAGTGAACTCATATGATATTTGTCTTTCTCTGCCTGACCTATTTCACTTAGCATAATACCCTCTAGGTCCATCCATGTCATTGCAAATGTTAGATTTCATTCTTTTTTATGGCTAATATTCCACTGTACACATGTACCACCACGTTTTTTTATCCATTTGTCTACTGATGGGCACTTGGGTTGCTTCCATATCTTGGCTGTTGTAAATAATGCTGCAATAAACATGGGGTGCATATATTCTTTCAAGTAAAGGTTTTAGGTTTCTTTGGCTATATACCAGAAGTGAAATTGCTGGGTCATAAGGCAGTTCCTTTTTTTAATTTTTTGAGGATGATCCATACTTTTTTTAGAGTGTCTATGCACCTATTTTAACTTTATGCTATCCTGATAATTTAAGTATTCTCACAAACTAAAAACTTTCTGAACCAACAAAGAATATAAATGTGTACTCATAAACATGTACATTTCACAACCACAGACTAAACCCCTAACGTTATTCAGCCAACAGCACTGTAAACCCCTGTGCCTGTTTGCCCCGCAGAGATCAGAGAGAAAACTCTGACTCAGTTCAACAATCACTGCTGCTGGAAATTTTCAGAGCTCTAGATCCAGATAACAGTGAAAAAAAAGTATATATGTATAAAATAAAGGAGATTAAAATAGTGGGGAAAAAATGTATATATGTGTAAAATAAAGATTAAAATTATAAATATGGTTTCTCATTCTTTTGTACTGAAAGCATTTTTAAATTATGCATATAATCTTATGCACAATAACTTCATATAAAAACAAACCAAATTTTTGGCATTACCACTTCTTATAGTAACTTATGTAAAAGGCTTTCACAATTTAAAAACAATGTTTTTTGTTTTAAACTCTCAAATTATGCTATTTTAAAAATCTTATCTTTGCGTTCCTGGTTATTGATTTGGTTAGTTCAGTCAGTTGTTTTTTATTTTTATTTTTTAAACATCATATGGATTGAAAGTTACTAGTGAAACTATTCCACTTAAAATGAAAAGGACTTGGTCATTTTCATTTTTTCTTCTTTAAAATGCATTTCAGACAAAAATCTCTTGAGTTTTGAGCTCTCCTATATTCGGTCTGGTGAGATTTTGACTTCTTCCTGAATTATACAGTCACTCGTTCATGGTTTCGATTAACCCATCTTCTCCATTCCTTCTCCCTAACCACAGCCTACTGCCAGGGTAAGAAAGATGATGAACAAACCGATTAATGAAAGCTTGTTAGATCAGTGAATTTAATTTTCACACAATACTAAGTTAATAAGCTCAGAGAGCCTCTTTCTTGCCTACATCCTATCCCCTCCTAATTCAGTCAAGCCTGCCAGCAGTCTGACCTCAAGGTGAGAGCCAGGGGTGCAGAGATAACAACTTCATAACACTGTGAAGTTTACCTAGAGCAAAAGCAAAATAAATACTTACAAGAGCAACTTTCATTTGCTCCTGAAATTCCCTTTCTTGGGTCTGAAGCTTCTTGGTCAGCTCCTGCTCTTTGCTGGCCAATCTTTCTTCATGAAGCTTCTGTAGTTTAGCGATTTGTTCTGAGGATTTCTGAAAATCAGCCAAATAGTTAAAGTGAAACACCCAGAATAAAATATGTGGCTCTGCAACCAAATAATACTTTGTTACAGTTTAATTTTCAAGTATAGCTTTGCAAGAGGAAAAATCAGAACATATTTCCCACATAAATCAAGAGACACCAAAGCCTCAATAGTTAAAAAAGCCAGTATTGCTCCTCATTTAAGACAAGGAGAGCTGCTGTCGCAGCAGCAGTCAGTCCTGTGGGGCTGAAGCTCCTTTTCTACATTTTGCAGGGATTCCCTCACCAATCAGGACTGGGAAGCACAGGAAAGGAAATAAGGGTGCTCTCAGGGAGGGCACTCCACTATAGTCAAGCTGCCCAGCCTGCACCAATCTAATTATGCCTAGCTTTCTAGGCATGTACTATATATTTAAAGGAATATTGGCTTTGTTCTATCTCTGATAGGAAGACTTAATTTTACAAAAACATCCAGCCTCCCTAAATAAACCAAAAAATGTAATATAATCAAGAAAAACTAGCAACAAAATTGGGGGGGGGGTGTTCACTAGACAAGATAAACATGCAAGAATAGCCAATACTCTTCTAAAAAATAGTAAGAGAAGGTTATCAAGTAGTAGAGCGTATTATAAAACTAGAATAATTATAACAGTGCAATACCAGCACACAGTCAGGAAAAGCAGTGGAAGAATACAGAAAATCCAGAAAAAAAACCAAATCCATATGCAGCATTATAATAATTCAGTATGTAATAAAGATAGCATGTCCTGTCAGAGGGGAAAACATGGATTATTTTTTTTTAAGGATTTGGAAACAACTTAGTAGTCATCTGGAAAAAATTAAAGTTGGCTCCCCACCTCACTCCTTACACTAAATAAATTCCAGTTGGATCAAAGATTTAACCATAAAAAAATAAAAGCATATAAGTGCCAGAAGAAAACATACAATTTTTAAAAATGATCTCAAGTGAGAATGTATTTTTAAAGAACAAAAATCCAACGAGCATTTAAAAAAAAATTTTTTTTTTTTTTTGCATGGACAAAAACAAACAACATAAAAAAGTCAACAAGTAACAAACAAGAGAAAATTGTTTGGATAAAAAGCACGTTATATCTGAACAAGTAATTCCTAATATAAGTAAAAAGCTTCTATAAATCATTAAGAAAAAGACCAAGAGCCCAATAGGAAAATGAGTCAAGGACGTGACAAGGTAACTCAAAAAGAAAAAATAAATATTCTTTTAAACATATAAAAATATGTTTATCATACTGGTAAGATATATGAACATTAATACTAAAATGATGCCTTTTTTTCTAATGGATGAGCTTGAAAAAATAAGAAGAAAGTTAGGCAACACCCTCTTTGTGAAGTGGGGAACATACTCTAATGCACTGCTCTGAGAATATAAACTGGCCTCCATTAAGTTTGTAGCATCTATGCAATAATTTAAAATACACATAAATCTTTGCCTGAGTAATATTCCATTTCTAGGAATCTGTGAGCAAATATGATAAGGATACTGACCATCTGCAATAATGAAAAATAACATTTATATCCATTAGTAAAAGACCTATTGAGACATTCATACAATGAAATCCTGAGCAGACTTTAAAACAAACGGGACCATTTTTCATTACCGATGATAAGGAAAAATATCCAAGACGGTTATTAAATGGAAAAGGAAAATATAGAACAGTATATATAACATGCTATCTTTTTTATTAAAAAAATAAAAGGAGGACTTTAAAACATAAAAGAGAAATCATATGCAAAGACTACCTCTAGGAAGTATATCCAAAAGGATTTAAGTTCTTTTCTCTATCAAAGTGCTTTTTTTTTTTCTATATCCTCAACATCATGAAATGATCATGGTCTAAAATACAAAATAACTCTTCTTTATAATGAAAGATTATCAAAAAATAAGACAAGTTTTAAAATTACTATAGCTCATTTCAACTAAAGATTATTCTTACTTTCTTTATATCAACAACCTCCTGTTTCACCCGACTTAATTCCTGTTGAAGACACATGCGTTCCTCCTCACTTGTTTTTTCAACAGCTTTTATTTGTTCATCCATTTCTGCCTTCATTTTCTTCCGTGATTCTTCTGCTTTTTGAGCTGTACTCAAGGCTTTTTCAAGTTCTTCAAAAGCTATAATGAAAGCAGCAGAAAACAAGTATCTCAAGAAATACTATCATTGAACTAAAGTGTTGTACATTGAATTTACATAAACTAAGAGCAGCAGTAGCAGGACAGGTTAAAGAACTCATCAGTGTATTAAGCCAGAGATATTTCTGAATGGTTCTACAAAGCCACAAGAAATGTTCAGTCACTGAAGCCATTTTGTCATTGAGTTCTGAATTAAGATCTTACAATTGCTTGTGTGAACTTAAGCTCACAAGTTTGAAACAAATACTAAATTAGTAACAGTTCCCTATTCCACCCACAAGTGACCTTATAGATGGCAAATTCAAAGAAATAAAAACTTGTACCTACTTCTGCACTGTATAGTTTTAATTGTTTTTTTGTTCATTAAACTGTTCTTATCTATTATCAAAAATTAGCTGCCCTGGCTGGTATGGCTCAGTGGATTGAGCACTAGCCTGCAAACCAAAAGGTCGCCAGTTCGATTTCCAGCCAGGGCACATGCCTGGATTGCAGGCCAGGTCCCCAGCAGGGAGCCTATAAGAGACAACCAATAAATGTTTCTCTCATAAATTGATGTTTCTCTCCCTCTTCCTCCCTCCCTTCCTCTCTCTTTGAAAAAGTAAGTTAAAAGAAAAGCATTAGCAATTATTATATATTCATGGAAACATTTTTAAGAATGGAAAAATTATCCTTTGATTAATCTTATTTTTATTGTTCTTATTGGTTGATTTGGGGAAGGGGCAGAGGGAAAGGGAGAAAGAAACATCACTTTGTTATTTATGCATTCTAGTATGTATCCTGACCAGAAATAGAACCTGCAAGCTTGGCATGTCAGGACAACGTTCTACCCAACTGAGCTACCTGGCCAGGGCTTGACTAACCTTATTTTTAGAAACCTGTTAACCACATAATAAAAGAACGGGACCCCTCCCCTTTTTTTTTAAACATTTACTGGCTGAATCACATAATTAAACAATGTATTTTTAAATGAAACCTACTACCTATATTAGTTTCAAACTAGGGCTATTAACTGATTCAACAGTGTACAGAAAAGGTCTAGCAGCAGGGAGTTCTTAGGTGAAATAAATAAGAATTCAGGGTCTGCTAACAAAACATCAAGCCTAGAGTATTATTATCTTTACGGAAGCCAAATGGCTCACGCAGCATCAAACCAAATCAGATGGGTTGGGTGCAACAACTGGACAACCTGGCACCCAAAATATGTACATATGTATGTTTGTATTTGTGTGTACATGTATGTATATGCATGCATGTGCACTGTACATATATGTGTATGCATCCACACACACACTCTCTACTGTCATAAGGGTACCCTTTGAAAATCCTACTGCTATTATCATCCTAGATTATTTCCTCTAGTCCTCACAGAAAGAACACATCCGACTTTTCCTTACCATAGAGGTGGACTATAAATAAAACATCAGTTATCAAGATGGATTTTTAATCCTATCAAAAAATGTCTGTCAAGGGAGACAGTTCCCTGACATATGTGTGGTATTTTCATTCCCAGTGATTTAAGAAATATGTAACTTCAACCTATGGCACCTCAGGAAAAAAGCTCTTTTATTAACCACACCATGGCTTAATAGACAGTGGTTTAAGCACAGAAATTTTACACCTGCAGAAAAAAACTGTTCTAAAGCATTTTCTTAATGGCAAATTACATTAGTACAGAAAAAGACAAAAGTAAGGCTGAATTCTACTAACAATTGGGAAACAACTTAATTTGCATATCATTTAAACAAAAAATTCTCTGGGCAACCATTTATCTTTGATATATTGGATTGGCTAAAAATTTCATTTAGTTTTTTCCCATGGTTCTTGTAGTGTTTACTTGCCTTTAACTTCATTCAAAACAATTTTGTTAGATTGTATTGGGACAGCTGTCATATCAGCATCATTTAAAACAAATCAAAATTGGTGAATTTTGTGGTCATTTTAATATTGAAAATGGAAGAAAATACACAACATTTTCAGTGTATTATGCTTTGTTATTTTAAGCAAAGTAAAAAAGGAACTGAAACACAAAATTTGTGCAGTGTATGAAGAAGGTGCTGTGACTGATAGAACGTGACAAAAGTGGTTTGCAAAGTTTCTTGGTACTGTTGACATTTTGGCCAAATAATTCCTTGTTGTGGGGCTCTTAAACACCGGAAGGTATTTAGCAGCACCCCTGGCCTCTATCCATGAGAAGCCAATAGTGGGAGATAGCCGACTTACTCAAAATATTAAGATCAATAAAGTTGCTGGAGAAAATGAAAAATGTATCTTTTATTTTATGGGGAAAAAATGCAACAGACTTTTTGGTCAACCCAATAAAAAGATATCTATCTGATTTATTCATTTTATATGCCCAAAGCATAAAACTAATGCTCAAATATGCTCTAAATTTCAAAAAACATTAATTAGCTGAAATTACTTTTAAAGATTCTTATAGTAGCTTTACTGATATTTGCCTGCAAATACCAAAACGGTAATCCTTAAATATAAATGTTGGGAAATAAAATACTTAAAGGAAAATGTCATCTTTGTTTTATTTAGATATTTCTTTATTATAAATTCTAGTGTTGAGCATAAAAAAAAAACCTTACTTCTACCAGGAAATTGTTTCCTAATTCCTTAAAAATCAAGTGAAGTCATCAATTATGGGAAAGAAATTCTGTAAGGGTGCTTACTGCTTAGTTTCAGCTAAAGGTTTAAACGTGGGGAAGGGAAAAAAAAACAGAAAAAGGAATGACAATATTTTTTAATGCCTGGATATTATCAGCATCTTTGCATTACTGTAATTATTCAGCACGTAAAATTGTATCTTAGCATTTCTAAGAACTTCACAGAAATATCTAAAATCAAGCTCTGGAGAACCCAAAGATACATCTGATAAGCTTCCAGCAAAATAGAATTTTACATGAAAAACTTCTGTCAATTAAGCAAAATAAAATAAAACTGTATACACTCAATACCAAGTGAATTTTCCTTGTTTTCATTTTTAAAATTTCAGAATGTAGCACAGTATAAAACTGGATGTAGCTCTCACTTTTTTCAAACAAAAAAATCCATGTCACTAAGTTCCTATTTAGATATAATTTTCCAATAATTGTTTTCTAACCACACTCAGTAAATTTTAGAATATTCTCTTATATTACATTTTAATTTTAGTATTTAATCCATGAAAGTTTCCTAAGTCAATCTGATTATCCATCATAATAATTAAATTAGGATTGATCTGGTTCCACAGTTCTTTGAATCTGACTTTAATCATCTCTTTCACTTTCTGCCACCATGTCAGAGAACCATATAATTTTATACCTAGAGACCTTATAATTAAATGTTCTCACTCAAAAGCAAGAACGAAAGCATCCAACTTTTTCCTCAGATGATAAATCAACTTGAATATATAGGCGTGATAGTAAAACTTTAAATTGTATTTAAGGAACAACCCTTACCTTGCATTATTTTTAAAAACTAAGAATGCTGACATTGACCAAGTTCAAGTGAACAACAATATATCTTACTAAACCAGAATTTCCGAACCTTACAATTACTGATGGCTTCTAACTCAACAAAATGTAGCATGTCATACCTCTGACAGACATTCAAAAACTCAACTGTTTTCCATTTCCATCCTGCTTTTCATAAATGTTAAGTCCAAAAAAAAAAGACATTAAAACACATTGCATATATCCACATATAGAAAACATATTTTAAACCCATTCAGGAAGTCTGTCTCCAATCAATCCCATTTCAATGCTGAAGGGGGATACAATGAGAGTTTACTTACTAATGTCTCACTTTCTGCTGTTGCAACCACAGATACAGAAAAGTAGTGTCCAAAATAAAACTATGCTGGGATTTTAATGTGAGTACTAAAGGAGTATGTCCTGAACACCTACATAATTTATTCTGCAATTACCAACGATGGATAAATGAGTGGGGAGAACAAAAGCGTGCATCAGGCACAGCTGACAAGTCTTCTGCCAACATGCAAGAGTGCATGGTAAAACCACGGTCACAGCACACATAGTGGGGAGGCTAAGCACAAACTGCCGCCAGATGTTGCAAGAACACACTGTGTTCTTCCAAAGCAAAATTCAATGTATCTCAGGCAATTTTTATTAAATTAAAAAAAATACTTTGAAAATATTTCTAGGCAAAAATTCAATGAATCTTAAAAATGTAAAACGTAGAGGAGGCCTCTTACTGTAAGCTTCTCACTTTCCCCTTCAGATGAGGTTCATTCATGTCTTTAGGAATTATAAAATGGACAAATGCTGACTGTAAGAGTTAAATGAGAAAGGTTGGCAACAGCAAAAGAATCCAACCATTCATTTATCATATATTTACTCGATGTTTGTCATTTGCCAAGCATATATGGTAGGCACAGGGTGACATAAAGAAAATATTTCGCACATATACACACAGACAGTTGAAGTAGTAAGAGAGGTTGAGAAATAAGAACTAATTCTTAGATAAAGGTAGGAGAATGTGGCATTTGCTTTTGCTACTTTACCACCTTTTCCAGTCTCCATTCTCAATGTCCTTCCTAACCGTGTAACAAATGCTAGAATTCGGAGATTGTAGGTAGCATTACGGTTGTGTTGCACTGTTCCAGACAGCACATTACTACAATGGCAACAAGAACCACTTTTCCTCCCACTACAGGGAATAAACAAACATGCAGAAATGTGGGCAAACATGCAGTTAACCTCTCAATTAACTGTTGATCTTAAGAAGCTGATTGAGAACATCAAGAAATGAGTAAGTAAGCTAGTGCCTGTCTTTATTCCAGCAGGGGGGAAAAAAAAAAAGCTGCTAAAATGCATATGATACTACTCTAAAAAAAAAAAAAAACCCACACAGGACTTCTGGCCCAGATGGAGGCATAGGTAGATATGCTTTGTTTCCTCACACAACCAAAACAAGGACAACAACCAATTAAAAAAAAAAAAAACAACCAGAACTGCCAGAGAATTGAACTGTATAGA